GGGGCGAGCGGCGCGGGGCTGGCGGGCGCCGTCAGCTCCCAGGTGCGCCCGGGGAGGATTACCGCAGGATTACCCTCCCCTCCCGCTCATGCTCCCCTGACTTCCCATCCGGATCGGCGGCGCCCACGCTCTCCTGTATCCGTGGCGCTTGCCCCACAGCTCCGTTTGCGAGCCTTTCATGTTCGCGAGTGCGTGCGCGCGCAGCGCACCTTTATCCAGCGCAGAGCCACCTGCCAATCACCCTTCAGGGTTTCACCACCAGCCGCAACGCCCTTTCCGGCCCCTTTGCCTTTTTCCTTCCAGTCATCACCGCCCCTCCGCCTTCCGACTGCAGGTCCACTCCCTCCACATCCAGCTGCTCCACAAGGACGCCACCATCCTCCGCCTGACCGCCATGTTGGAGGACCGCCTGCGCGGCGACGGCGAGTGACGGCGAGTGACGCCCCCACCCGGTGACGCCGCTGACGAGGCGTCCGCGCGTCACCTTTGGCGCCGGCAGCCTGCCGACAGCGACGAGACGAGAAAAGCCCGACCCGCCCGGCCGGTGCGCCAGCGAGCGCGGTTTCCTGCGGCGGCGGCGCCGAGGCCCCAGGTCGTTACTCTGTGGCCGCGTTTGGCGGCTTGCAGGGCCCCTCCCCCTGCCGGCCCGTTGCCTGGCACGGCTTGATGACAAAGTGGGGGGCACTTCTATCTGGAGTACCCCGTTGCCTGCACGAATCATTGACTACTTGACTCGTGGCTTCCCTTACTCAAAAGCACTGTATGGAGGCGGTTGTGACTGCTTATCGAGGCCCACAGCTGTCTAGGCAGTGCGCGTCTGCAGGTGTTGCTGCCTCCTTCGGCTGCCCGCTGCCCGGCCAGCGCCGCAGTCGCTGCCGGCTGAAGTTGTGCGAGTTTTCAACCCCCAATCAAACGCGCAGAGCTGGTGTGGCAGCCCAATCAACTTATATATGAGTCAAGCGTTCAGAGTTTGAGTTGCTCAACTGGGCGTCAACGCGTCCTGCTCTTTGATACCCAGTTTGAGACTTTTTCTTACACCCAGGCAGCATACCGATTTTTGCAGGTGCAGGACCGCCTTAGCAGGTGGTCGTCATCATGGGCTGCCCCCCTGCCTTCACAACATCCTGGGATGCCTAGGCGCCGCTCACCACCGAGCCTCTTTGGCTCTCAGGCGCCACTCACCACCACGCCCGCAGAATCGAACGAGTGTCTGGCTGAGCGCTTTGCACAGCCAGCAGCATTGCTCACCCATCCAGGAACCCCTCCCCCAACATTGGCTGGCACAACAGGCTGAACCCTCGCCTTGAAATTCCCCCCCGTTCAATATCAATAAATAGTGCCGCGCGGAGTCATTTGCTGGGGTTGCTGCTGCCTGAATGCAGCGCTCAGCGATACAAGTGGCGCCTGTCTGGGCTGCGCTACTCAGACTTGCGCCAACTTGACCGCTCCCCTGAGCGCCTGGCTCATGCACGCCGCTGCCCAACAGTGAGCCTTCACTTAGGGCATTTGTACCATCTACCGCCCCAACAAAGAGCCTGTAAAGATCTGTCACTCATTGGCTTCAAGGACGCAGCTACAGGTCAATTGCAGGCAGCGCATGAATCACCCACTTGGCTTCAGCAGGCCGCTGCATCAACTACGGTCAAAGCCAGTGCTGCTTGTTTCTATGCGGCCGCAAGTGATTGGGTGGGGCGGGGCTTGCGCAATTGTGGCAAGCAGCACGTTGATGTGATCATATATGAACATAAAGCCATGGTGAATGAAGGATTTTGATGAATATTTCGCATGGGTATATGCAGGCGGCCGCAAAAAGAGCCACAGGCCGCGACAGGCCACAACGATCAAGCAGCGCGGCACTGATTGACAGGCATGTGCAGCATACGCGCTGCAGGAAGGCTTGGTGTGCGCTGCGGCGGCAGCCGTGTACGCATGCCCTGACGCACCACGTGCAGTGTTTGGTCGTCCCGCAGAGGAGGAATCACGGTTCAGTCAAGCCTGCTTGCCAACCTCGGCCATTCTGTCGTGTCGACGCGTGACAACATGCAGCCACTGGATAAGTCATCTGGCAAGTCGCGAGTCGCCTGCTGTCTTGCACCCTGCTACTTGTGGCTTGCATGCGACAACGGCAAGCTGCGGCCAACTGCCATGCCTGCGTTTGCGGCATGCGGGGAAAAGATGGCGGGGCAACAGTGCTAAGGAGGATGGTGACGCATTGCTGCGCATGCATGCCTGTAGTCAACCCAATGGTCAGGTGGCAGGTGGCAAACACAACAAGCGGAGCACAGCAAGCGAGCGCATTGACAGGCTGAGCGGCATCGGTGCCCCTCCCGCTCTGGCTTGTGCGCGACCCACGCCCGTCCCATTGCCTCGCGCACCCGGCCTCCGCGCCCGCCACCAAGCCACGTCCTCGCCCGCGCCCGCGCCCGCGTCCCCATTGCTGCCGCCAAAGCCCGCCTTCGCCAGTATCTCTGCGCACGCCGCAGCGCAGTCGCAGACGCGCCAGCTGGGGTCAGGGGACAGCAGCCCGGCCCCCTCCAGCAGGGCCGCCAGCGCCCAGGGCGTGTAGAACGCACAGGGCATGACCCCGACAGGCTGCAGCTGCCGGAAGTCGGAGCGGCAGCCCTCCGCCAGCCGCCTGACATCCTCAAATCCAAGGACGTCGTTCAGCGGCAGGGACCCCGCCGCCGCCGCCGCCTCCGCATCCGCCGCCGCTGTTGAGGCAGTGCCGGCCGGGGCGGCCCGGGACCCCGTGTCGTGCTCTGGGCCGTCTCGGCAGCCGATTGCCGCGGCAAATCGCGGCGGCGGGGCTTGATATTTGCAGATGCGAGCCACGGCTTCGTTCTGCTTGTCTTGAAGCAGGTAAAGCAGTCGGGCCGCCACGAGCGCCAGCAGGTCCGGGTCGCACGACGTCACCGTGTCGTCAGACGCGACCGTTAGATCCTCAAACGTTATGAGCGGGCAGTACACCATTGAGAAGCCGAGCCCGAGCAGCACCGCCGCGCCGCACGCGGCCGCGGCGGCTCGGAAGTGGGGCGAGGAGAAGAACACAAACGCGCCGACAGCGACGTTGGCAACGCACAGCAGGATGCTGAGCACCAGCAGCGACGACGACAGGGTGACGCCGAGCCAGAGGTAGAAGACCACGGGTGACCTGAACCTCACCGGCCGCGAGGAGGGGCTGATAGTGTTCAGAATCATCATGGCGCCGGTGCTGGTCAGGATGCAGCCCAGGGACACCGCGAAGGACGCGCCATTCAGGAAGCGAAACGCGTCCGCCCCCGCCGACGGCGGCGCGCCCGCGTCGCCGCCGGCGGCCTCGCCGGCGACGGGGAGGTCGGCGTAGAAGGCGGGATAGGTGGATGACGTCAGCAGGCCGGAGACGAGCGCGTAGGTGGTGAGCATGGTGGTGGTGCGGGCGGCGAGGGAGGGTTCCGTGTAGTTGCTGATCTTGGACGCGGTGCGGTCCGCGTAGGCGCGCGCCTTCCTGCCTGCGTGCGAGCAGCAGTAGGCGGGGAGGCGTAGAACGGCACGGCGGTGAGGGGATTGGGGGATTGAGCGGCTTTGATGCGTGCACGTAGGCGGTCGCCGCCGCCAGCGGCCGACCAGTGGCGGTGCTGCGTTGCGGGCCGCGTGGCGCCTCGCTGGGGAATGCTGCGCTCAGACAGCGGCGCCGCGGAGTCAACCCCACGCCTTCGCACCCGGCCAACCAGCCCAGTGCTTGACCGCGCCCCACGCGCCGCGGGAAGTTGGGGCATCTGACTCAGCCGAGCGGATGTCCATGTGATGCATGGCGCTGACGCTGCGCACGATTAGGGCCCTGGGGTGAGTGGCGCAGCGTCGACGACGCCAGGTCTGCGCGGTTTGACAGCAGGCGGACTGCAGACAAGACATAACTGGAGGACAGCTGGTGACTGGGCTGTAAAGTGACTCCTGTCTGCTAGTCCCTCGTCCAGCATCATAGTCGCGGGCCTTGAGCCGTGCTCTCATGCTGCAGCCGACCACGCATGCGCACATGCACCGACGGTGACGCCCGCACCAGCGACAGCTGCGAATGCGGTCTCAGCGCCAGGCGCACCTGATATATTCTTCAGCCCAGTCGAGGCCAGTTTGTGCGAAATGGACTGATACCGTCCGCTCACAGAGCGACGACGATCTGGCCCGGCTGCGTGACCGGGTACTGGGCAATGTAATATATGCTACACCCACGCATCAACCTCGGCATGCGCACATCAAGCGGGTACGGGGCCATCACCGGCCAGCACACCTGTTGGCGTGCTGGGTGACATAGTGTCGCCCCCTGCCCGCGACGGTGCAATGGATGACACCCAGCTGTTGCTCTGCAAGAAAATGGCTGCAAGAGGCGGCAGAGGCATTCAAAAATTCATCACATAAAAAGCAACTGCATGCAGGCTATAACATAGATCACTGATGTGCTGCTGAACCTGTTTGCCTCCTTCTACAACCATCCCTTATTCGTGTGAACAGAAGGATTACCGTAGCAGGTTAGAGGTTACATGGAGGGATTTTGAACGATTCAAACGTGCTTCAGATCTGTGGGCTTACAACGTGTACACACTGGAAACATTCTTCCCTGAGCAGAGGCGTTTGACCAACCTCAGGTCTGGTCAATCAACACTGCCGCTGCGTCCCGATTGCATTGAGTCCGGCCACACGCTTGTTGGGACCGCACAGCTGTTGGGCAGTCGCAGAGGGGCCAACAAAGTTGAGTTCTCATGCGGCTTGCAGTTGTATCTGTTCGCGACGGCCCAAAACCAGGACGCCCCGAGGTTCCAGCTGGCGCACGGCGCTGTGCTCTTGGAAGAACTGGCTCCAGCACGAATGGCACCGTGGTTATATAATGTTTTCATGTACACTTTCTTTTATAATTACCTTTTCTTTTCACACGTCTCCGAGAACTGGTTCGGTCGTGATGTCGCGGGCTCTTGCGGGGGGCCTTCTCCTGCTCGCTTTCTTTGTGCTTCAGGGCCACGCCGGTATGTAGAAGTGTTCTGAATCGTTTCAATTCCACCTCTCTCTTGCTATTACTCGATTGATTTGAGCACCCGTCGTGCCGGGCGCCTCTGCTGTGTCGTCACGTCGCACAGCAGTTGTTTTTGAGGTGTGCTGATCTCCCTTGATGAGCACCCCACCACTCACTGGAACACCCCACCCTCAAAGTTGGCGAGCGGCACCTGCTGCAAGAGCCCCCGCCGTCCCCGCCGCCGACTGAAAATGAGACATCCGGGACAAACGAGACCGTTGGCCCCCGTGGTGAGCCGTCTCTCTCTCTCTGGCGCCCTGCTGTATGTAGGCTAGAGCGCAGCCTCATCGCTGCACTGTATGTGTGCCTGTGAAACAGCCTGCAGGCAGCACTTGGTGAGTGGCGTTGTGCTGCTGCGGGCCCTGCTGCCAACAAATTTATTCGAACGCAACCATGCCTTGCTCGACAACCTCAAAACCCGGGAGCCTGCTTCTTCCGCCCCCCTCAATTTATTAGTTCGTTGCTGCCTCCGCACCATCCCGCCTGTAGCTGCCCTCCCTCTCATAACGCTCTCATGCACCACCCGCAGGCCGGCTGCTGCTGCAAGCACCATCTTCAAGCCCTGCCCCCTCCCCCAGCCCCCGGGGCATGGGCCTCATGGCGGGCCAGAGGATTGCCAACATGACACGGGGCGCCAACATCACTGGGTCCCCCATGCCAGGCCACCGGGGCAAAGGACCAGGCGTGGGCATGGGCCCAGGCATGGGCATGGCCGGCCGTGGGCCCGCAAACATGACCCGAGGCGCCAACATCACACACTCCCCATCGCCGGGCCATCCCGGCAAGGGGCCGGCCACCTCGGCCGGCGCGCCTGGTGCGGGCCCGCAGGGCGGCAGGGGTCCAGCGTCAAGGCCAGGCGGGCCGTGATGCGATCACCCCCCGCCCTCCAGCGGGGGTGTGTGCCTGCGGCCATATACGCCACCCAGCGGGCACTGCAAGGCGTCTCGAGCTTGTGGCTGCACATGTTTTCGCTTGCCGGCTTGCGTTCAAGTCAGCCTGGCGTGCTCACAGCCAACGGGCAGGATCGGAGGATCGATGATTGCCTGCGTGCTGGACTTTGACATGCCTTGCTGGTGTGGGGGTCCTTGGCCTCAGACCATCACCAATCAGCTGATTGGCTGACCGGGAACGGTCTGCACGTGTCTCTTGCTGGTGCGTGTGCTGGCTTGCGCTCGTTGATGTTGAGGTGTTGTTGGGTGCATGCGAGCCCCGCAAAATCGTGGCATGTAATCACGGCGACTGTAGTTTCATGTTGACTCCCAGCCTGCCCAGAAAGCAGCTGCGCACCGTTTCTTGATGAAATCACGGCTTCTGGCATCCGTGACGGCATGCGGCAGCGGCGCCAAGCGTGATTGATGCCTGGCGTACCGGCTTGTACCGACTGCGCTGACAGGCTGGGGAGTTGTCTTACTGGCTGACATCGCCAGTATGCGGCCGGCTGTGCGGCGCGTGAGCTGTGTGCTGCTGAGAAGCGTGGGCTGAGCAGCAGGCTGCTGCAGCTGCGGTCAGGGGGAACAGCAGGTGCCGGTAGAGGACTGCCCTGCCGCCCATTCACAAGGCGCGGCGTCCGTCGGGCGTGACAATAAGGCGTGGCGGCTGCGGCAGTGGTCCAGTGTCTGGCCGGCATCGCGGCGCACTACACGCGACAAAGCTCGCTTGATGCACTGGCAAGTGCTGCCATCGTGGGCCTCCAGGCATCAGCTGGCGATCTTCCACGCGACATAAGCGATGCAAATGATTGTAATGGCAGACTGCGCCAAAATTAAGGGCCAGCGGTGCGCCTACGTGAGACCAGGATTTGACGCACCCAGGTTTTTTTCAAGTGTTGCCCAGGGCGAGGCCGCAGCCAGCGGCGCCACGCGCCCTTGCCGTCGGTGGCATGGTCTGTCGGTGTGGTGGTATATTCGATTGTGATGTATTATCTCTATATTGTTGCTGCTCTCAACACCCACAGCTCGGGATCCCACTTTGACAAGCAAAAGCAAGCTCCGCGAGCAGAGCAGTGAGGCCCCGTCCCGGATCTCTCTTGGATCGTCACACGGCTATCAACTTATGCCTGCATATGCGTGCACAGCGGCTGAAGCGCGCACAGGCGGCGCTGGCGGGTGCCAACGCGGTCCCGCTGAGCTCAGCCAGTGCACCGGCCCGACCTCGCCACACGGTTGGCCCCACACAGGAGCGCCGTTGTCACCCCACTCCAGTAAGAGCCACGCTGCTTACCACTCATGCTACTGTTGTTGCGTGGAAGATGGCCAGCGGTCACGCGCCGATACGGCCGCAGCTAGCGCACAGTGCCGTGCTGCTCTTGTCGTGGTCCCGTCCACTGTCGCCTGCCTCCTCATTCAGGCGATTGCAAAGCCCAGGGCAGCAGTACCCTTGCGCCACCGCACAGCGCCCCTCTCTTCCGTGCTGATGATGGCACTCCCATACCCGACTGCGCTCAGCATCCCAAAAAAAGCTGCAATCAATGCTCGGCGGCAGCAGGCGCTATCACCACACTGGTCAGCAATGCTGTGGCCAGGACAAGCGCGCGAGCCAGCTGCACATTTTCATGTGAGTGTACTTTTGACTGCAAAATGCAACCATTACACGAGGACACAGTTGGTTTGCACCCACCAATCAGCGGATCAGATCAGCGCCGGGGGAACCGTCATACGAGAGAGAGCAGCATGCAGTGCTGTCAAAGCACACACAGCGCAGCAGTCCTGGTGACCAGCACATGCCCACCAGGGGTGGGAGCAGCGGCAACACAACCCGAGGGCCGCCCTCAGTATTCAATCCGAGAGCTGCGCGAGCAGCGCCGCGCCCCGCATAACCCAATGTGCCGCCGGCTCCGCGCTCGGCAGGCGCACAAACGCGACAAAGTTTGTCGAGTGCCCCGTCGTTGCGAGCACGCCGCGCCGCTCGGCCGTGCGGTACAGCGGGCACGCGTACCGCCCCCCCTCGCGTATCTCCGCCGCGGGGCGGGGGCGGAACCACAGCGGTGGCGCGGGCGCGTAGAGCACCTTTGGCTCGCACTCCGCCAGCCGCCCCGCGCCCGCGTCCCACCGCGCCCCTTCCAACCACAGCCCGTGCACGTACACGCCCTCCGGCGGCGGCCGCGACGGCAGCCCCGCCGCCGCCGCCGCCGCTGCCGTCCCCCCGCCGGGCGCTGACGAGGACAGCAGGTGGGCCTCAACTGCCTCAAAGTCGTATGCCACGACGTCGATGGGCATGCCGTTGCGGCGTGCGTAGTTTTGGAGCCCCGCCGTCAGGAAAGAGTGGGGGAAGAAGAAGTACGGGAGGCAGAAGCTCGGCGGCGGCGCGCCGGAGGCTGCCCAGGCGGCGAGCATGGCTAGGCGTGCCGAGAGGTCCGCCATGTATGACGCGAGCGGCTTGAGGGACGGGTAGGACACCCTCTTCCATATCTCAGGGACCTGTTTTGGTGCGGTTTGAGGGGGGACAGCTCTCTCATTCGAAACAACAAGACCAAGGTCGGCCAGGGGGCTCATGCGTGGCGGTGGCGGCGTGGTGGTGCGCAATGAGGCTCGGCGAAAGCACACGGCCTGCTGCCAGCAAGACGTCCCTGCAGGGCCTGAATTCAAGGCGCCGTTCGTGCCCTTGCTCCTGGCCCATCGGTGCCAGTGGACCTTCCGCCTCATGCCAACGCGGCCCCCGCCAGTGATCCGGCGGCAGGGCCGGGGCCAGCGCGGAGCCCACGCGCCCCCACGCACCTGGTTGAGCGCGACGCTGCGCGCCGCCGCCTCCAGCTCCGAGCTCATGACCGCCAGCCCCTCCAGTGCGCGCTGCATCGCGGCCAGGCTGTCGCGCAAGACGCCCGTCAGGCGGTTGAAGCGCGCCATCTCCTGCGGGGGCGGGAGGGGCGGCGTGAACAACGATTGCAGAGGGCGGGCAGTGATGCGACTCTTGCCCGCCGCGGGTCATGATGAGTTGGAGCGGGCCAAAATACGAGTCGAGCAGAAGGATGGTGGCCGGGTGACTCCGACCATGAGATGCAGAAGGTGCTTCAGCTGTCTGCCCCAGCCACGGCCAGCTGGCGCCCAGGCTGCCCATCTGGCCATTTGCCCGCCCACCTCAGTCAACATAACCTTCCAGCCAATCATCCGGCCGCACCCGCGGCCGCGCCCACCAACACCACCCGCACCCGCCTCTAGCGCCTATGTCACTGGCCCCCCACCTGCACCAAGACGGTGTTCATGCTCTCCTCGTAGCACACCGGGAACTTCGCGCCCGCCGACTCGACGTCGAACGGCGCCGGCAGCGCCGCCAGGCACTCTCCCACCACGCGCGCCAGGCGCGCCTCCTCCGCCTTTGCGCCGCCGCCGCAGCCGCCCTCGCCCCCGCCGCCCGGCGCCGCCGCCGCGTCGCCGCCGCCCTCGCCGCCGCCGCCCATGGCCAGCAGGCTGCCGAGCATCGCGTCGGTCGCGTTTATGTCCTTCGCAATGTCGGCGTTGGCGTGCAGGCCGAACGCGCCGGGGTCGGCCGCGAGGGGCAGCGCGTCCACGTGGGCCAGGTAGCCGCCGCGCGGCCCGTCGGGCGGGCAGCGGTAGGCGAAGCCGGGGGAGGCGGGGGAAGAGAGGGTGTACGAGCCGGGGGCGTCGACGAGCGGCGCGCAGAGGCAGCGCTCGAGGAGGGTGGCCAGGAGGAGCCTGTCCTTGTCGTCGGTCACGCGGCCGCCTGCGCCATGCGAGGGGCGTCGAGTTGTCGGGAGGGTTTCGAGGGGCGAGGCGGGAGGCGGCGGCAGTGCCGGTGGCGGGTTTCGGGGCAAAGACTGAACCTCATTAAGTGTCAATTTGTGGAGGCGATGCCATATTACGCTGGCTTTTTTAGTCCACAGCGCCTGAAGGTGAACTCCCCACGGCCGAACCAAAGCTTGCTCCTCTGCAGGAGGTTTTGTCTGCACCCACCGTAATTGCACTCGCCGATGACGTAGCGCAGCGCCGCGAACGGCACGCCTGCGCTCTGGGCCCCTGGCTCGTCGCCGCCGACGGGCGACTCGTCCAGGAACATGCGAAGCTGCCTCAGGCTGATGCGCTGGTCCCCGTCATCGAAGCCTGGGGATGGGCGTGGGTTTGGAGTTTAAAGTAAGGGTTGCATTAAAAGGTAGGGGATGGGCGCACTCCTGAAGGGATCAGGATGAGAGTACATACGTCCAATTTGCGATGGCGCACGCTCCAAGTGGGGAGGGGCTAGAGACCCATGCTTGGAGGAGCATGGTGAGAGGGTGTTTTTGCATTCAGGACGCGCGCGCGCGCTTCGCTTCACTTTCACAAGTATTAGCCACGGCCACGGAGGTGTTGGGGCTGGGCTGGCCCAGGCAATGCGCATGCCCGGCGGCATGGGTGACGCAAGAGAGCGACCCTCGCCCGGCCTGCGCCCTCTGCCCGCACCCGCCCCCTCCCACCAACTACCCACCATAAGGAATGTTCCAGCCGAGCGGCCCAAACTGGCGCCGCTCCTGCACCAGCGCATGAAAGAACACCAGGCCAAATGCCAGGCGCTTGAAGGGCCCGGGGCGCCTGTGCACAAGGGGTAGTGCGGGGGCAGTTCAGGGCGGAGCAATCAGCAACACGTAGTCGCGCCTGGGGCAACGCCATGTGCGCATGGCCGTTGCCCAGCTGGTTTGCCACCAGCTCCTCACATCACAAGTACCATCAACACCCCGCAAGCCGCATGCGCCTGGGCCGTCCTTGCCGACGGCGCACGCACACACAATGGCTTGGTGTTCCCGCTTCGCTCACCGGCCCCTGCATGCAGAGCCCGGCACGCACCTGCAGCCCTCAAAAAAGTCATCACTGGCCAGGGGCTCCTGCCCCAGCGACCGCCTCATGTTGGCCCTGAGCCCCTGCGGCGGCTCGTTCGTCATCTTCACGCCGTTCTGCAGGATGTTCACCGGGAACTTGGGGGATGGGTATGACGTCATCCACAGGCGGAAGGAGGGGTTGGTGGTCTCGGGGCTCAGGTCTTCGCAGATCTTGTCCAAACTCGGCATCCAGCTGGGTGCCAGGTGGCAGTTCTATGGGCAGCAGCGAAAAGAATGTGAGGGCAGAGAATCGGCCAGCAGTGGTGATGCCAGGCGGGTGCTCCAGCCAGGCTTTGGCTCTTGCGCAGGTGACATCGAGGTTGGCAGCGCTGGTGTGAGCGGCAAGCCATCCAGCATCCACGCCAGCACAGCAACTTCCCAACAGCTTCCAATTTGACAGGTCTGTCTTCTTTGTCCCCTCAAAACGTGATTCTAACCCCGCAGCCTTGCCTGCAGCACGACCCAAGACCCGGCCGCGGCTGCCTCGGCGATCAGCGCGGCCGCCTTGGCGCCCTGGCCCTGGCCCAGGCTGATGGCTGACAGCCGGCTCGCCATGCCGCGCTCCCCTGGGAGGTGAGGTGCGGGTTGGGAGAGCAGAGCAAAAATCAGTTGGTGATGCTGATCACAACAGATTTTGTCTTGTACTGGACCTTTCAAACAAGACATGCCCTACCAGTCTCGGATGGTGATATGGTTATGTGTCACCAAACGTCTGTTTTTGAGGTTTCAGGTGATCTGCTGCACACCCACTTACCTGCAAACTGCGCCAGCGCCGCGGCCGGGTCGCTGCCCGGCGACAGCACGAACACCAGCGGCGTCGCCGGCCCGCTGTCGGCGTAGCAGGCGGCGAGGTCGAAGGGCGGGGGCTCGACAAACGCGCGGCCGAGGCGGGACTCGACCAGGAGCTGGGCGGCGGGCAGCACCTTGTCCGGGCGCAGGCACCTGCGCGGCCGAGATGTGCGGTTGAGGACGGCCGAGAGTCAAAGGCGCAGGCGCAGGTGCAAACTTAGGCTGAATGAATGGGAGCTGCTCATGGTTGCGGGACGCAAGCATGTGCGGTAAACAGGCGTGCAAGCAGCTGCAGCTGTTGTGAACTCGGGGGCGGCACTGCGGATGCTTGGGGTGTTGCGGCGCCGTTGAGCCACATCTCCCAGCATGCTATAGCCAGGGGTGCAGCGCAGCACCCTCGGAACCAAGGTCGCCTCGCTGCCGCCGCACCTGAGGACGCAGAGGCGCCGGAAGGGGTCCAGCGAGGCAAACAGCCCCGGCAGCGGGGCGTTCTGGGGCTCAGGGGCGTCGTACACGGCCTGCCACTCGGTAGGCGTGGCAGACACGGCCGCATCGAGCCCATGGAACGTGGGCAGCGCGGAGAGCAGCCGCAGCTGACGCCAGGAGCGGTCGACCAGCCAGGAGGGACCGGGGTTGGGCGCGTCGCCGCGCGGCTGGCCTGTGGGTGTAGCGAGCGCAAAATGCTTGAGCGTGTAAGGGATGGGACTTAGATCAGGACGCCCCTCGCTACAGGCAACGCAGGGCAAGAAATTGTGTTGGGTAATAGTCTTGTGACATCCCTCAACAGTGCTTGCACTGTGGATGATACACAAACACATGTACGGGCTCACCCAGGCCCCCGGTGAGGAAGAAGCGCCACTCGTCCGCGTCCAGCGCCCCCGCCGCCGCCATCAGCCGCGCGGCCAGCAGGAACGCAAACAGCAGCTTGTCCTTCTCAAACAGCGAGCGGCACACGTTCCTGGAGACGGCCGCATCGTTGTGGTTGAGCACCGCGTCACATTCAAAAACTTGTGAGGGAGGGACAGGGTCTGGGGGCTGTGCTCGTGAAGCATTCACACGAATGCACAGAGCCGTCCGAGGTTGCGGAGCGGCATGCACAGCTGGTGATCGGCAGCCCTCCGTGCCGCTACCTCCACCGCACGCCTAATCATCTTGAATCAGGGCCGCTGATACCGGACACGAACCTGGATGCAGAGGCTTGCCGCGACAGGTCAGGCCAGCCGACCGGGCAGGCTCATGTGTTCCCTCAGCACAGTACTCACCTGTAGAGGCTGATGGTGAATTGCCGCTGCACGGCCGCGAGCCGTGCCGCGACGTCTGCCGGGCGCTCAGCGTCGCGCGCGGCGCCCAGCAGCAGGGCCGTGAACCAGGGCAGGGAGTACTGGTACATCGGGTCGACGACGGCCAGGTCTGGGGGGTGGGTGCAGTTCGGCGCTTTCAGTAATGGATGGCGGTAAGGTCGAGGTGGTGTGTAACATGCGATGGGAGTAGCGCTTCAGATGTTGAGTGCACGCGACTGTGCGCACAGGGGCAGTGAGCAGCATGTTGATTACAGTGATCGAGCACAATAGCCCGCCGGCAGCTGCCCTGAAGCGCCCTGAGAAGTGATTGAGAAATGAATGATCCACTGTGTCCCACCTGATATGCAGAAGAACAGCGTCGAGGCATGATCCCCCGCCGGCGCGTACGCCGCCCGCGCCGCGTCGATCGCGGCCTCCGTCGCCTCCGCCTGCCGCTGCTTCTCCGCGACGTCGTTGCCCAGCGCCTTGGCCGCGGTGATGACGCCAACAGCCGTTTCATCCTCCAAGATGTTGCCTGGTTTGGTTTGTGGGTTGTGTTTCGATTGGATGCAAATGCCGGGCTTTTATTGGAGCCGGTCGGCCCACCAGGGCGCGTGGTTTGGCAGCTTTGAGTGGGTTCGTTTGTCCAGAATGCTGCCAGGTGGGACAGGCTCTGCACCTCGGCCAAACAAGCAGAAATGCAGCCGGCGACCCGCCCGCGCTCCTGTAAGCGCACCCGTTGATGATGACAGCACTTCCAGGATTCGGTCCTCAATCTCTTGCAGCTGACGCTTGTTCTCTGTGCGTGCACAGATGGCGTTTGAAGGGGGGGGTTGAGAGAGGTTGGGGCCGTTCCCCTGAGACAGGTGCATCGCGACCAGCAGTTCAAGCTTTCCCTGCTAAAGCACTCCCACATCTGGCCAGCTGTGAAAGGCACCAAGAGGAGCCTGCCGAAGGCTGTGCTCGCGCACCCCTCGCTTCCCGTTCGCGTTCCCAATCCAACAAAGCGCCGCACCCCAAAACCCAATCACTGCAAGCTTGGTGCCCCTGCCGCTCCCTCTGCCGCGTTCGCGCTCCATCCTGGCCGCTCTTGTCGACACGCACCCGCCCCGCTGACGACAAGGGCTGCCTTTTGCTCTTCAAGATCTGGCCGCTCCGCCGCCACCAGCACCCCCAGCAGCTGGTCGCTCAGGCCGCCGGGCGTGATCATGAAATTTAGGAGCGTCACCTGTGTGTGTGTGTGTGTGCGTGCGTGCGCGCGCGCATGCGTGCGTGCGTGTGTATCTGTGTGTGCATGCGCGTGCACATGTGTGTGTGTGTGTGCGTGCGCACTTGCGTGTGCCCAAACATGCACGCAGATAAGGTCAATCAGGGGTGCATGTGGGTGGCGGGCGACGCTGCACACCCTGAGAGCGAATGCACAAAACGTCAGGCGGGCGGCAAAAGCCTCCGCCTCAATCATTCGGCAGATCACGTCAGCCGCCCGCAGGTCCAGCAATGGTTCCAGCCCACATCGCCCCCGCCACTGACCTTGACAGCCAGCTCTGGAAGGTAGTGGGGGTTCCTCATCTTAGTCGTGATGTACAGCCGGAAGTCGGCGCTGTACTCCACCGCCGCGTCGCCAAGGCGGATGCAGGTGACGCCGCCCTGCTTGAAGACCTGCACGCGTGGCGGGGGTGGGGGCGCTCGTGAGGCGGGGCCGCCTTGAAGTGCAGGCAGGTATTTTGACCTACATATGTTGATGATTGCTGCCAAGTATGTGGGGATGAGTCAGGAATGTGCTGCAAGCATGCTGGCAAGCAGGAGTGTTGCGGTTGCGATGGAGGTTTTTCCCAATGTGAGGTATGTCAACGGCTACCTGTTTTGCTAGGAGTGGCTCCAGAGCAGGGTCCAGCTCCTCCCCAACATTCTCCAGCAGCACAGGGCGGCCAAACTGGCGGGGTGGTGTGTCGAGCAGGGAGGGCAGAGGGGACGATATCATGGCAGGCAAACAAGTTGTGCACTTGAGACCTGTGAAGGGTGATGCTTGCAGTCACGTGCGCCAGGATCGGCTGAATATCAAACCCCTCCTCAGATCTCTTGTTCACGCCCAGATCAGTCAGATCACCCTCCCAGATCACCTGCACCGCGTTCTCCAGGGATCTCATGAAGTCGCTGCCATTGCCCGGCTTCAAAACCTGTTTGAGGTGCCAGGTTTCAAAATCAATCAGTTTGGAGCAGCGACATTAGCCAAAACACATTCAAAGGTGGCAGCCGAGGGTCAGCAAACTTCACACTCCCCGCCTCCACCCTGGCTGGGCTCCTGCAGCACCCTGCGGGTTTGTGCCCTCACCCACACGCACCTGGAGGTTGTGGGGCCGCTCCAGGTTGCGCACCCACTTGTTGGCCTGCCCCTGCGAGCCAGAACGAGCCACACAACGGAAGTGACTGAGCTTGGCAGTGCAAAACAATCTCAGTGGTGCAACCTTGAAAACATCAACGCGACGTGAGCCCTGACCCAGGATCCAGCCCCGACCCAGATTCTGCACGAGCCTCTGCGGCCTCGGTCCGCCCACCCCGCGAGGGCAGGTGTCGCCCAACGCCGCCCGCTCCGCCCCGCAAAGGCGGGCGCGGACGCGCCTGGGGGTCTATCATGAGCGGCCACCGCCGCGCGCGGCTGACGATGATGGCGTTCTCCACGCTGAAGGCGTCGTTGGGCAGGCCCGCGATGAGCCATTCGCGCGTCTTGACGGGGGTGCCCAGGGCGGACACCAGGCTGTAGGAGGGGCTGACGGGGACGCCCTATTGTTGGTTCATGTGGGGCGCAAAGCAGCCGCGCTCCAATGAAAAATGATTGATGGGGCGGTCGGTCGATTGGTTGGTTGGTTGATCAATCAACGACCTGTGGGGGTTGCATGCACGGCAAGCAACACGAACAAAGGGACGGCCCCGCTTGTCTGCTCTGCCTCCACAACGGTGAGTCTTCCTGGTGACCGCACCCTGGATATTAGTGATATCGATATATTATATTAATAATGACCCTGGTATTCCGAAGCACCAGCCAGCGGGTGACTTGGCAGCGCGCGGCGCAAGAGCAGCCGGTCAAGCACCTGTGCAGTGCAGAGCGCCAGCGCCCCCTGGACCAGCCGGGTGCGCCAGGGGGCCGTGAACGCGCCGAGGTAGGCGATCGTCGCGGCCGCCACCAGCATGTCGCCCAGGAGGCACTCCTGTCCGGGCACGAGGACGAGGTTAGGGTCAGCTCGGCAGGCAAACTTCACGTGTAGACTTGAGTGGGCCTGACGTCTACAATGCGCAGCCAGCGGCTCGACAAGAAAGTAGGAAACCCTACCCATGCAAGGCTTGCACAAGCCTGCGGCCGTTTTGCGCGTCGCTTTGAGAGACCAGCGAAACATCAGGGGGCGGCCGCGGGCGCGCACCTGCGCCTTGGCAAGGGCCGTGGCCATCTCCTGCCACCGGGTCCGCTCGCCGCCCAGCCCGCCGATCAGCGCAGCCTGCGGCCCAAGCAGCGGGAATCCATGCGTCAACTTCTGCCGTGCATTGCTTTGGCGGGGGGATATACAGGATGGCCCATCCCACACACGGTCTTCAAGGTTTTCCCAACCACATGCAGACACACAAGACGTTGGAAACACACGCGCGCACGCACACACACACACACACACACACACACACACACACACACACACACACACACACACACACAC